GGACATGAAAACCTTGTCAGACACATTACTCAGGTTGTCATACTTGAGCAGATTATTACTTGTTTCGACTCAAGAATGTCAGACACATACTCAGGTTGTCATACTTTATACTTGTTTCACTTCCTCTGTTAAGGCTTCGGGTGTCGAGGGAATGTAAATGTAAGTTTCAGCTTCATGCTCTTCTGCTAACCTCGACCATATATATCGTGTATTGCTGTAGAGTTTTTTCGATGTTATCTCTCCCTGTAGTTGCTAGTCTCCTTCATGCTCTACTTCCGTCTTCTCATTCAGTGTATACTTTGCATGGTATGTAGTCACAAGGCATTCTCTCTAGCTGGACAAACCATGTGATCAGCAGTCTTTGTATGTAATTAGGGACTGCTTCTGTGTGAGATTTGTCATTTTGTTGACTGGATTTTTTTGCTGTTAACTGAAGGCTAGCTTTTTCTTCATCCATTCTCCAACATCGGTGAATGTTATCCCCAGAAAGTTCCACTCATGCATTTCTTTAATGCCTTTAGACTGATGCTAAATTTAGCTTCTGTGTATTTCTTCCTATTGACATTACTTTTGTACTGACAGTGATTCAAAGAGCATGATCCCTGACATGAGGCAACCAGTGGTCTAGCGGCCTCAGATTTTGGTTCAAATCCGTATCAAGTCTGATGTTTAAAAAAAATCTTACGTCCCCAGTCTAGCAAGCCTAAAAATGATCACAGGCAAAAGTCCAGGGAAGTAAAGGCCACCGGAGTGATGTTGACCTCACTACCCGTGTATTACCGACCGGTATATACAAATATAAGTAAAGAATGGTATGCTTGATTGGTTACGGGCGTAAAATCGGGTCCTTGCGGTGTTATCAGGCTATATGGTGACTGTATGTATGTAATGGGTTGCAGTTCAAACAAAGCAAATAACTACTTTTTAAGTGCGCTGTCTTCATTAGGTCACAAACAACCCAAGATGGATGGAGAGAAGGTTGAGTAAGACCTGTCTACATTAATTTAATAAAAAAAGAATGAAATGGTTCAGCCATTTAGTGAGAATGCAGCAAGATAAAACTACATAAGATAATTTTTGTTTACAGCAAAATATCTGAGAAAGGCTGGACAAGACCAGTAGAGCGGTGGATATATTTTGCAGCTGAAATTCAAACCACTGGAGAAGTACAGGGCAAATACAGAAAACCACGACTCTAGGCTACAACCTGGTACCAGTAAGAGGACAAAACCCTGAGACTGGGCTACAACCTGGTATCAGTGAAACGACAAATCCCTGAGACTTGGCTACAATCTGATATCAGTGAGACGACAAAACCCTGAGACTGGGCTACAACCTGATATCAGTGAGACGACAAAACCCTGAGACTGGGCTACAACCTCGTATCAGTGAGACGACAAAACCCTGAGATTTGGCTACAACCTGATATCAGTGAGACGACAAAACCCTGAGACTGGGCTACAACCTCGTATCAGTGAGACGACAAAACCATGACACTGGGGTACAACCTAGTATCAGTAAATAAAAAAACGACACTGGTATTCAACCTGTTATCAATGAGACGACAAAACCACGTCATTAGGTTCCAACCTGGTATCAGTGAGACGACAAAGCCAAGACACTTAGCTACAGCCTGATGTCAGTGAGACGACAAAACTATGACACTTGGCTACAACCTGGTAGTGAGATGACAAGACCATGACACTTGGCTACAACCTGGTAGTGAGATGACAAGACCATGACACTTGGCTACAACCTGGTAGTGAGATGACAAGACCATGACACTTGGCTACAACCTGGTATCAGTGAGAGGACAAAACCACGACGCTGGGTACAACGTAGTTTCAATGAGATGAAAGAACCACTACACTAGGATACAAACTGGTATCAGTTAGATGACAAAACCACGACGCTGGCTACAGCCTTGTATCAGTGAAATGACAAAACTGTGACACTAGGCTATGGGTATCAGTGAGACGACAAACCCTGAGACTGGGCTACAATCTGGTATCAGTGAGACGACAAATCCTGAGAATGGGCTACAACCTGTTATAAGTGAGAAGACAAATCCACGACACTGGGTTACAACCTGGTATCAGTGAGAAGACAAATCCACGGCACTGGGTTACAACCTGGTATCAGTGAGACGACAAATCCACCACACTGGGTTACAACCTGGTATCAGTGAGAAGACAAATTCACCACACTGGGTTACAACCTGGTATCAATGAGAAGACAAATCCACGACACTGGGTTACAACCTGGTATCAGTGAGAAGACAAATCCACCACACTGGGTTACAACCTGGTATCAGTGAGAAGACAAATCCACCACACTGGTCTACAAACTGCTATCAGTGAGAGAACTAAACCACGACACTGGGCTACAACCTGGTATGAGTGAGAGACTAAACCACGACACTGGGCTACAACCTGGTATGAGTGAGAGACTAAACCACGACACTGGTCTACAACCTGGTATCATTGGGAGGACAGAAGAAGAAGCAGGAGATGAAAAAGGCATCCTTAGATGATGTCACCAAATGCATGAAATTATTTTTGAAAACTGAACTAGCATGTCTGCCTTACCCACATCAGTATCATTTGCATTTCCATCTGTCATAATCCAAATCTCGCAAGGCACACCTTGTCTGCGGCCTTTGGTAAACTGACCAGCTGCATTGGCCAAATGTAATGCCCGACCTGTGAATGTTTCTCCGTTCTCCTTTTGGATGGCTAGGACAGCCTGATTGATGAAAGAAGTCACTTACATGTACGAGTGTGCTGAAAGAACCGTCTTTGTTACATCTTTATCGTTAAGCTCTTTTCTTCTTTTTTTTTTTTTTGTTTCTCCGAGTGGCGTAAGAGCTTTGTGTCTGTTAACAGCACAGCTGCGATATTTGCGTCTGTAGGTTGTTACAGCCGACTTCATGGAGCATTTGTTGACAGTGTCAACTTCCCGGTGTGTCAGTTCTATCTTGTAGCATACTTGAAATTTAAATATTTTATAATAACAATTGGATCTGTCTTCCATGTTTAAAACAAGAATACAAGCTCAAAACACCCGGCTCTCGACAGCTAATGTGTTCAACAGATATCGCAGCCTTAAGGCCAAACGCAGAAGCAGAAGCAGACAGTCTGAACAATCATGATGTTTGCCACTAACTGTTCTATCTGGGGAATCTGCAGAGAATATCAGGGATTGAAAAACAAAGAAAGAAATGTCGAAGAACTCAGACATGATCCGTGATTGTGCTGACCGTCTGATATGTTGAAAAATGACCTCTAGGCTTTAAAAAAAAAACACACACATAATTATGATGATATTGTAGTCAAAATTAAGATGAATGTCTTGCAATCTTGCAACCTTGGTCTCAATCCCGGTTTTTTTTTTAATTTTGGGGGGGGGGGGGGTAGGGGGGGGGGGGGGGGGAGGGTGGGATGGTGGAAGAACTACATCCTACAGGGGCACAAAATACAGTCCTAGCTTGAACAACTTTCTAGCTGGACAGAATAATGTTTTTGTGTACGAGAGGTTTATTTCAAAGGGTCGCATGTATGATGGGCCTGCGTACCCAATTTATGACACTAAAAAAAGTTGGTTCACAGAATTGATTAAATCCGTGGCCGTTGCCCTAGCCAAGCAGCCTGCACTCGTCAGGCCAAAGACCACCTCTGTTCCACACCGCCCGACAAGGGTATAGGCGAGCAATGGAGCAATGTAATCATTCTTTCAGTCAATGTGATCAAACACATGGCCACTTCAGAACAACGCACGAGCAGTCTCCCTGGGGTGATCTTTAACGGAGCAGTGGAGACTCTAAACACAAGGTGAGATTGTTCTCTAGCATGATGATGACCAATATAAGAACATCTTCATGGTAAATAATATAAGAAATGTAACTATGCACTTCTTATTTCCTAATCTGATTTTATTAATGATTTTTAGTCCCAATTCCAGTGTTTTTTGATGAAAATCGCAAGACACGCTTATTGAATATAGTATGCACTTCTTGTGCACGGTCCTTGTCATTATAGGTCGTGAGTGCAGGGACGGGCTAGCTAGTGCTGCGGAATCAGACGTTCCAAAAATGATTCCAGACATTTCCCGCCAATTGTGAAGTGATTATCTGTACAGATGGCTCTGTGTTGAGAGGCAGACGAAGTGCACGCAAGTTCATAGCAAGAGGAAATTGGACATCGTTTAGTGCAGCCTGGCATGTCTAGTTTGAGACTGGAGGTGGAAGCAGTCACTGACGCCTTACGATAGCTTCAGAATCACACATGCCGCGATTGTAACTGACTAACAGAATATGTTGAGAACGCTGGAGACCGGTATGCTGCTTGAAGAGTGGCACGCGTCGCTCTAGAGGTCCTGGGTACTTAGCGTCCTTTCGATATTTTCTCCACAGTATGTCAGTGTCTTCGGAAAAGAGCAGGCAGATAGACCGGCCAGTTCTGCGCCATTTAGTGGTAAGCTGATATATGACAAGCTAGATATTGCGAGGGCCCTTTGGGAGCATATGGACAGTGCAGAGGCACACATAGATCACTTCGGTCTGAGGGAAATGGCGTTGCGAAGAGTTACCAAGGGATCTGGCCGACGCTCAACACTCAAGAAAATATATCAAACCGAACAAAAAATATATAAGCGAGCTTCAAAATATAACAAACACAGACAAATGTGGCGGCTTTAGAGCCTTCGTAAGCACATTAATAAATCAGACAAAACCACACCAATAAACCAAAATCACTTATCCACTGGGATGTCTTATTCAGTGCAACTGTCACGTCTTCAGTTGGGACAGTTACTCATAGCCATAACATAACTTACTATTTCAACCATATCGTCATTACAAACATGTGCTTTTCTACGTTTTCTAAAAATTAAGTAAAGGTAAATCTGCATCAACCACAACAACAAAAACAACAACAACAAAAACAACAACAACGATGGCGATGCAGGCAGATCATTGAACTAAAAGACAAGTACTACTGTACCTGTGTAAGGTTATCATTGTTGTCGTAGGTGTCGAAGTTACATACGTGAGTGTAATTATTGCTGAACTTTCCGAAAGAAAACTGTATGCCCCTGGGGCCGATTATCACCAACTTGAAAATATCAATGAAAAAGTTAATCAGCTTTTTCCATCCAGCGAAAGCGATGCTGCCGGAACTGTCCAGGAAAATTGCGACATCAATTAGGGCGTTCTGGCAAACTGGGACTAGAGATGGAGGAACACCGTTACATGTAGGACTCGCAGCAATCTCAGTACAATTCTCCATCACATCACTCAAAATATACTATTCTCTTACGCTCTCTTTCTCAACATTTATCTCACCCCTCTTTCTTAACATCTATCTCCAGTGTCTCACACTTCCTTTCTCAACATCTGTCTCCACTTTCTCAACATCTATCTCTACGCTCTCTTTCTCAACATTTATCTCTACGCTCTCTTTCTCAACATTTATCTCACCCCTCTTTCTCAACATCTATCTCTACGCTCTCTTTCTCAACATTTATCTCACCCCTCTTTCTTAACATCTATCTCCAGTGTCTCACACTTTCCTTCTCAACATCTATCTCCACTCTCTCACCCCCTTCCTTCTAATCGTCTGTTACCACTCTATTAGCCCCTTCCTTCTCAACTTCTGTCTTCACCCTCTCTAATGGGTACAATGATTCGATTTTGATTTGATTTGATTCAAGAACCCACATCACATCACTCAGGGCATTTCCATAAGCGCTCCGTTCCCATCTTCAGCAGCTTTAGAAGAGTTCCGATACTAATGGTGCCAGTAGCATTCTGAATAAACGTCCGTCTTGCCTTTCCTCTGAGCCTCGAGCCTCAGCCAGAACCTCTCGTCACTCCCCAATGCATCAATCTCACCAGATTGTTGTGATTCATCTACTCCTCCGAACTGTACACGCTCTCCCACAAGGCACTAACCACGTCTGCCTTATCATGTATCAGTATTCCACCAAGCTGTGCAGAGCCAGCCAGTCTGTCCGCCTGTTCATTTCCCATCATACCGGCTTCCCCCGGTGGACAAAAAATCCAGACAATACTGCTCGCCTGTGTCCTCAGCAGCGAAGCATGCCACTCTGCGCGAAGTATGCCTGTTCTGATCTTCCTCAGCATGCTTTCTGAGTCAGTTAGAATCACGATGTGTGTATGTGTGTGTGTGTATGTGTGTGTGTGTGTGTGTGTGTGTGTGTGTGTGTGTGTGTGTGTGTGTGTGTGTATCTCGTGTTCTCTAGTAAGCGGAAAGCTGCAGGGACCCATTCCATCTTCATTCTTAAGATGTTGTGGTATCATATGCTAGGCTCTCCTGCACCAAACGTCGACCATTAACCTTTGCTAAGAAACCCCAAGCACTTCTTTAGCCTCTTGACACTGAACCGTCTGTGTAAATGATCAAATCCTCTGAGCTAGCATTATGTTGAATTAATTGCCTAATGGATATAGTAATGATACAAATAAAAAGTGTATATGTTATGCAGGGGATAACGGTAAGGCACCAATGCGCATAAGACGGGTAGATGTTATGTAGAATTTACTTACGAGGTGTTGGTTTCAAAGTAGCTGAAAACACAAAAGATTAGTAGTGGTGATTACAGTCCATAGAAGGTATAATGATGACATTTGATTACAGTCATTAGAAGGTATAATGATGTCGTTTGATTACAGTCATTAGAAGGTATAATGATGTCGTTTGATTACAGTCACTAGAAGGTATAATTATATCGTTTGATTACAGTCACTAGAAAGTATAATGATGTCATTTGATTACAGTCACTAGAAGGTATAATGATGTCGTTTGATTACAGTCACTAGAAGGTAAAATGATATCGTTTGATTGCAGTCACTAGAAGATATATGTATATATAGTTTGATTACAGTCACTAGACGGTAGAAGGATATCGTTTGATTACAGTCACTACAAGGTATAATGATATCGTTTGATTACAGTCACTAGAAGTCATAATTATTTTTGATTACAGTCACTAGAAGGTATAATGATGTCGTTTAATTGCAGTCACTAGAAGGTATAATTATATCTTTTGATTGCAGTCACTAGAAGGCATAATTATATCGTTTGATTACAGTCACTAGAAGGCATAATTATATCTTTTTAAAAACATTCACTACAAAGAATAATGATGTCGTTTGATTGCAGTCACTAGAAGGTATAATGATATCGTTTGATTACAGTCACAATAAGGTATAATGATATCGTTTGATTACAGTCACTAGAAGGTATAATTATAAAGTTTGACTAAAGTCAATACAATGTATAATAATATAGTTTGACTAAAGTCAATACAATGTATATTGATATCATTTGACACGTAATTGCGTATCCTGTACAGGATGTTGCAGAACCAAACCTAGCATTTTTTTTTCTAGGCAAATTTATGTCCAGTAGTTTGCCATTGCTTTGTGGACGGTCAGCTTCTCGTTACCACTGTCGAAACCAACGCCTACTAGATGCGTGTGTCACTAGACACCAGCGATGTACGAGTAGACACGGATATGCACTACGCACTATTGTGTAGCCGAGAAGAATTCCTCTACACGTATGAATCAACTAAAACAGTGACTTAGGCGTCGACAAAGAGAACGAAGTTGACGGGGTTCACATATCGTATTATTTTCTCGGGGCCATGAGGCAGTTCCAGAATGGTAACCTCTTATACGAGTCACACAATAATACAAGGCCAACGTATATCATTGCTGAAAACAGCTGGCCGCATGGGGATCTGAACTCACAACCGTTATGGGGTCAGGCAAAAGCGACCAACCGACTGACCACAAACAGCATACTTAACTAACCAGTAAATATTACAAACAAACTAATACACAAGTAGACAGACGCGAGACCAATCAATAATATGTGAATCAAATGTATGCTCACTTGTTGTTGGTTGTGTAGTTGCTGAAAAACAAAGTTAAAAAGGACATTATTCTACGAACAATGCAGAACCCAATGTTGATTTACAGCAGTCAGTAACAACCCCCCCCCCCGCCACCCCCCCCCCCCCCCCCCCCCCCCCCCTTTTCCTTATTTTTGTTTAAAAAGAGATTATTCCAAATACAAAGCAGAGGAAAAAAAATGGGTTAAAAATTATCGCAAGACAGTCAAACTGTCGCTTATTAATTACTGTAACATAAATAGAGTATAACATACATGGAGTATAACATACATATAGTATAACATACATACAGTATAACATACATAGAGTATAACATACATATAGTATACCATACATAGAGTATAACATACATAAAGTATAACATACATAGAGTATAACATACACAGAGTATAACATACATAGAGTATAACATACATAGAGTGTAACATACATCGAGTATAACATACATTGAGTATAAAATGATAGAGTATAACATACATAGAGTATAACATATATAGAGTATACCATACATATAGCATAACATACATAGAGTGTAACATACATCGAGAATAACATACATAGAGAATATCATACATCTAGTATAACATACATCGAGTGTAACATACATTGAGTATAACATTCATAGAGTGTAACATACATAGAGTATACATACTTGTTGCTTTTGGAGTTGCTGAAATACAAAAAAAAAAAAAATGTAAATGTAATATAACCACTGGGTAGAAATTTTATTTACAATTAATTACCTTGTTTTTGTAATCTGAAAATCGGTTGTTGTTTTTTTTTTTTTTACAAATTCAATGGATTTAGAAACAGTATTTTTGTTTTAGATTTTCACAAATCGATCACAATATTCATGGTAGCATACGCTTGTTTTTTGCTTTTTGTCTCTGAGCTGAATTGAGTTGGGTCAAGAATTAACATCACACACATCACTCGGGGCATTCCCATGTGCTCACCGTCCTTATCTTTAGCAGCCAGCGCAGAGTTCCAATACTAATGATACCTGTAGTGATCTGCATGTGGATGTGAATCTGCAGCCTTCCTGGCAATGGTGTCCACACACACAAAAAAAATAAAAACTTTTGACTGAGAACAAACAATAAGTAATTGTAAAGTGCATATGGGAAAAGCACCCATATTTTTACAGACCATCAGCACTCTGTGGGTAATGTGAGCATTACAGCGGCTGACTTTACTTTCCCAGGACAGCCCATCCTGGTAACCATTTTAAGCTGGGTCGACCTGCGGCGCCCCATACCATGATAAAAATCCACGCAGCTAGCTGTGGGTTTCTATCGCTGTATGTTGGAATTACGACTCAGACTCCCAACACCTAAGCCACGGACGCCGCTGAGAACAAAACAGTACACTCAACTAAACAGTGTGAAAAATAAAATAATACGCAAGCAGAAACACAAGCAGACACACAAGCAGTCACACAAGCAGACACACAAGCAGACTCAAGACAAATCTTCTTCTTTTGCACTCAGCTATCCCTGTTTTGTTCCCGTAATTTAAATATTAAAAAAAAAACACAAAGTAGAGAAAATTACTATTTAAAATTATATCGCAAGTTAGTCAGACTCTGAGTTATTAGCGTAAAATATACGGTATTTATTTACTGTTACGTGCCCTCTGTCTCAGGGCATCGCACGTTTGTCAAGTGTCTATGAGATCTGTTTATGCTCCGCCCACGTATACAAAAGTTCTCTAATCGACAACGTCCTTTACACGCCTGATTCTCAATGTCAACACCAGTACATTAACAGTCATCTGTATAATACTGCCTCGGTCTCTTTATTATGGACGAAACACTTTACGATGAAAATGAGTGGTGATCGATGAATCACAGTCAAATCTTCTACTGCCTTCCCAAATATTCGCATCAGCAGTCTCTCTAGAAATGGACACAACACCCCAGGTAACTATGTCCCAGGTGCCTACTACGGGCCACTCACACCCGAGCGCGCAAAAACACCTATTTGATGTGCAGTGACAATCCTTTTATGGTGCTGCCTAAGAGGCCCCGTCACCAAGAACTCAAGACTTATGCAACTCTTGTTGAAAACTTCAGGCCTCCCGCCAGCTATCCCAGCCAATTATTAGAGTCTTACTGATCAGCATCCCGCTAATTGGGATCCGACACTTCCTTCCATCACAACTACACGGTGGTTAACAAACACAAACAAGTTCCCGGCATCTTCTGTGCTCTTACAGATACCCCTGTCAATCACGTCTCCGTATAGCTGCAACACCACCATCCTCACATAGATCACATAACAGTGCATTCTGTAAATTACACAGTCAGAATTCCCAAG